TGTCTGCAATGGAGGTTGGGCTTGTCGCCTGCGAGCGTATGTCAGGGACATAACACTCAAAAAATTTCTCCATTGAGTTCGTGCTTCGAGGAGCAGCTTGTCTGCAATGGAGGTTGGGCTTGTCGCCTGCGAGCGTATGTCAGGGACATAACACTCAAAAAATTTCTCCATTGAGTTCGTGCTTCGAGGAGCAGCTTGTCTGCAATGGAGGTTGGGCTTGTCGCCTGCGAGCGTATGTCAGGGACATAACACTCAAAAAATTTCTCCATTGAGTTCGTGCTTCGAGGAGCAGCTTGTCTGCAATGGAGGTTGGGCTTGTCGCCTGCGAGCGTATGTCAGGGACATAACACTCAAAAAATTTCTCCATTGAGTTCGTGCTTCGAGGAGCAGCTTGTCTGCAATGGAGGTTGGGCTTGTCGCCTGCGAGCGTATGTCAGGGACATAACACTCAAAAAATTTCTCCATTGAGTTCGTGCTTCGAGGAGCAGCTTGTCTGCAATGGAGGTTGGGCTTGTCGCCTGCGAGCGTATGTCAGGGACATAACACTCAAAAAATTTCTCCATTGAGTTCGTGCTTCGAGGAGCAGCTTGTCTGCAATGGAGGTTGGGCTTGTCGCCTGCGAGCGTATGTCAGGGACATAACACTCAAAAAATTTCTCCATTGAGTTCGTGCTTCGAGGAGCAGCTTGTCTGCAATGGAGGTTGGGCTTGTCGCCTGCGAGCGTATGTCAGGGACATAACACTCAAAAAATTTCTCCATTGAGTTCGTGCTTCGAGGAGCAGCTTGTCTGCAATGGAGGTTGGGCTTGTCGCCTGCGAGCGTATGTCAGGGACATAACACTCAAAAAATTTCTCCATTGAGTTCGTGCTTCGAGGAGCAGCTTGTCTGCAATGGAGGTTGGGCTTGTCGCCTGCGAGCGTATGTCAGGGACATAACACTCAAAAAATTTCTCCATTGAGTTCGTGCTTCGAGGAGCAGCTTGTCTGCAATGGAGGTTGGGCTTGTCGCCTGCGAGCGTATGTCAGGGACATAACACTCAAAAAATTTCTCCATTGAGTTCGTGCTTCGAGGAGCAGCTTGTCTGCAATGGAGGTTGGGCTTGTCGCCTGCGAGCGTATGTCAGGGACATAACACTCAAAAAATTTCTCCATTGAGTTCGTGCTTCGAGGAGCAGCTTGTCTGCAATGGAGGTTGGGCTTGTCGCCTGCGAGCGTATGTCAGGGACATAACACTCAAAAAATTTCTCCATTGAGTTCGTGCTTCGAGGAGCAGCTTGTCTGCAATGGAGGTTGGGCTTGTCGCCTGCGAGCGTATGTCAGGGACATAACACTCAAAAAATTTCTCCATTGAGTTCGTGCTTCGAGGAGCAGCTTGTCTGCAATGGAGGTTGGGCTTGTCGCCTGCGAGCGTATGTCAGGGACATAACACTCAAAAAATTTCTCCATTGAGTTCGTGCTTCGAGGAGCAGCTTGTCTGCAATGGAGGTTGGGCTTGTCGCCTGCGAGCGTATGTCAGGGACATAACACTCAAAAAATTTCTCCATTGAGTTCGTGCTTCGAGGAGCAGCTTGTCTGCAATGGAGGTTGGGCTTGTCGCCTGCGAGCGTATGTCAGGGACATAACACTCAAAAAATTTCTCCATTGAGTTCGTGCTTCGAGGAGCAGCTTGTCTGCAATGGAGGTTGGGCTTGTCGCCTGCGAGCGTATGTCAGGGACATAACACTCAAAAAATTTCTCCATTGAGTTCGTGCTTCGAGGAGCAGCTTGTCTGCAATGGAGGTTGGGCTTGTCGCCTGCGAGCGTATGTCAGGGACATAACACTCAAAAAATTTCTCCATTGAGTTCGTGCTTCGAGGAGCAGCTTGTCTGCAATGGAGGTTGGGCTTGTCGCCTGCGAGCGTATGTCAGGGACATAACACTCAAAAAATTTCTCCATTGAGTTCGTGCTTCGAGGAGCAGCTTGTCTGCAATGGAGGTTGGGCTTGTCGCCTGCGAGCGTATGTCAGGGACATAACACTCAAAAAATTTCTCCATTGAGTTCGTGCTTCGAGGAGCAGCTTGTCTGCAATGGAGGTTGGGCTTGTCGCCTGCGAGCGTATGTCAGGGACATAACACTCAAAAAATTTCTCCATTGAGTTCGTGCTTCGAGGAGCAGCTTGTCTGCAATGGAGGTTGGGCTTGTCGCCTGCGAGCGTATGTCAGGGACATAACACTCAAAAAATTTCTCCATTGAGTTCGTGCTTCGAGGAGCAGCTTGTCTGCAATGGAGGTTGGGCTTGTCGCCTGCGAGCGTATGTCAGGGACATAACACTCAAAAAATTTCTCCATTGAGTTCGTGCTTCGAGGAGCAGCTTGTCTGCAATGGAGGTTGGGCTTGTCGCCTGCGAGCGTATGTCAGGGACATAACACTCAAAAAATTTCTCCATTGAGTTCGTGCTTCGAGGAGCAGCTTGTCTGCAATGGAGGTTGGGCTTGTCGCCTGCGAGCGTATGTCAGGGACATAACACTCAAAAAATTTCTCCATTGAGTTCGTGCTTCGAGGAGCAGCTTGTCTGCAATGGAGGTTGGGCTTGTCGCCTGCGAGCGTATGTCAGGGACATAACACTCAAAAAATTTCTCCATTGAGTTCGTGCTTCGAGGAGCAGCTTGTCTGCAATGGAGGTTGGGCTTGTCGCCTGCGAGCGTATGTCAGGGACATAACACTCAAAAAATTTCTCCATTGAGTTCGTGCTTCGAGGAGCAGCTTGTCTGCAATGGAGGTTGGGCTTGTCGCCTGCGAGCGTATGTCAGGGACATAACACTCAAAAAATTTCTCCATTGAGTTCGTGCTTCGAGGAGCAGCTTGTCTGCAATGGAGGTTGGGCTTGTCGCCTGCGAGCGTATGTCAGGGACATAACACTCAAAAAATTTCTCCATTGAGTTCGTGCTTCGAGGAGCAGCTTGTCTGCAATGGAGGTTGGGCTTGTCGCCTGCGAGCGTATGTCAGGGACATAACACTCAAAAAATTTCTCCATTGAGTTCGTGCTTCGAGGAGCAGCTTGTCTGCAATGGAGGTTGGGCTTGTCGCCTGCGAGCGTATGTCAGGGACATAACACTCAAAAAATTTCTCCATTGAGTTCGTGCTTCGAGGAGCAGCTTGTCTGCAATGGAGGTTGGGCTTGTCGCCTGCGAGCGTATGTCAGGGACATAACACTCAAAAAATTTCTCCATTGAGTTCGTGCTTCGAGGAGCAGCTTGTCTGCAATGGAGGTTGGGCTTGTCGCCTGCGAGCGTATGTCAGGGACATAACACTCAAAAAATTTCTCCATTGAGTTCGTGCTTCGAGGAGCAGCTTGTCTGCAATGGAGGTTGGGCTTGTCGCCTGCGAGCGTATGTCAGGGACATAACACTCAAAAAATTTCTCCATTGAGTTCGTGCTTCGAGGAGCAGCTTGTCTGCAATGGAGGTTGGGCTTGTCGCCTGCGAGCGTATGTCAGGGACATAACACTCAAAAAATTTCTCCATTGAGTTCGTGCTTCGAGGAGCAGCTTGTCTGCAATGGAGGTTGGGCTTGTCGCCTGAAAAATTCCAGTACAGCATGTTTGGCAAACTCGTGCAAAATAACAAGCAGCTGGACAACAAACGTTTTACATTTTAATAAAAAATAAAAGTACGAGTGTTTCAGTGTGAACCTTTTACATTTTACTTGTTTCATAAAACTGACCAAGTTTGAGTTAGAGATGAACGGAAAACGGTGTCGTTTAAGCAAACATAAGATGAAGAGTCCAAAAAAATGATAAAAGAAGGGCCACAAACAGAAGAATTTATTTCAGTCCTTAGAGTACTTCAACCGATGGTGCCATGGCAAAGGGCAAGGGTAAGCAAGGGCAGACACTATTCACATGAATAGTGTATGTCTTACCATTTTTTATTTTGCTTTACCACCCATTACCATGGCAAGTAAAGATAAATACTATTCACATGAGACATGATGAGAGAAATTTGTACGGAGTTTTGGTGTGGGAAGTGAATATGTTGGCTAGGTATTTATAGAAAAAAAAATATTCTGAATTTTTTGGCATTTTTTATATATATTTTTGTATTTAAATTGGTTGCTGACGTCACGCTAATGTCAGCATGACATCAACAAACCCAAGCGGCAGCTTAGGCAATTCTTTCCTTTGGGCTTGCCTGGGTAAATGTGACCCATTTTTGCCCGTGCTGCCTTTCATTGTTGGGGAGCTTAATCCCAACCTGGGATCCCTTTTACCCTAGCAAAATTGACCCGCTAGAAGTGCTCTTAGAAGTCATTTTACATAGGGGTAAATTTGCCTTTAAAAATTTGAGGATTAGGTGGGTATGAAAATAGGACATGAAGTGGAAATAATAGCACTCTTTAAAAAAGCCTCTTTTGTTCATATGTGCTTTTATTATAAGTTATAGTGTTTCTTGAAAAATAAATACTTGAAAGTAACTTCTTACAAAGTACCTAGTGATTCTCGACTCGTTTTTTCTTTTGCATCCCCATTGATTAGGGTGATTTTGGGATTTCAACCCTAATGGGTCAGGTATGAAAGGAAAAAAATAGAGTATGAGGATAGATTTGGGGAAATTTGGAGTACAGTGTTTAGGGTGGATATATGGACTCATTTCTCTTTCGTGCAAATCATAGTTTAACGAACATACAAAAATAATATGTCATACATATCAAATTGTGATGGAGAAAAAAAATAAAGTAGGCTTCTAATGAAAACGAGGCTTTTCATGGCCAATTTTAGTGCTTTCCCATAGCCCACTTTAGCGAAACAAACACTAAGCCCATACCGCATCCCACCCAACCTCCCGTCCCTCTCCCGTAACTGAGCCGTCTCACGTACAGAGTCACAGTCTCAACTGATCTTTTTCAGCTGCCCTCCTCCAGGTAATCAGGTAAGTTTTGAGCTTTATCTCATTTTCTAGGATTTCCTTATCTGTTTATCTCGGGAGTGACACACAGTCAGTTCATTCTCTTCCATTGCTCTGTTTGCAAGTTTTTTGGATTTTCAGTGAGCTGAATTCAGGGTTTATGCGTGTGTATGTGTTCAATTCTTCTATATGTGCGTGTTTTTGTTAATTTGAACTTTTCTATTCAACAGAAGATGGCATGGAGGCAAATATTATTCGGCACAAGAGCTATTTTGGAACCATATTCAACAACCGGGTCTGCCAAATTCTCCACCAAATCAAACCCATACCTAGGTAAGCGATTTTGCTTTTAGGGTTTTGATACGTATTTGTTGATCCTTCCACATTTCTTTGGTTCCCAAGCAAATGATAGAGAATAAGATTTCTTGGGTTTCATGAATTTAGTGATTTGCATTTCTTCAAATTTAAATGATACAATGTCTATGTGGCTAAGTAGCTAGGTGGCATTAGAGGTTTTGTTTGGATGCTGAAAAATTGAAGAAGAGGAAAGAAACGAGAACATAAAGTTTGGGATTTTGTAATGCTCTATATTTAGGTTTTGATAGAAGTGAGAAGCTTTATTGATCACTTCTCCAAAAACAATAATGAAGAATGGCCCAATGTGGTTTGGTATGCTTATGTTGCCTCGCCTGTTTGGTTGCTGAGAAAGTTGGGGATATAAAGAATGGCAAGTGAAATCTTGGGTTTTGTAAGTTCATGTTTCTTGTTGATGTAACCATCTATTTAATGAATAATTTTTCTCTCGACAACTGAATGTCTGATTTGGGTTCTGCTTTGTACCTTTTCTTTGCAATCAAGAAATTTTGCTTTATTCTCATCTGGTTACTAAAAGATTGAGAATGTTGAAAGGAATTTTTCTCTCGACTACTGAACATCTGATTTGGGTTCTGTTTTGTACCTTTTCTTTGCGATCAAGAAATTTTGCTTGATTCTCTTCCGGTTACTAAAAGATTGAGAACGTTGAAGGGAATTGAAAGTGATTAATTTTGTGTGGTAGGCTAAAATGGGCAGTCTAAGTGTCAGAGTAACAACCCTTTTTTTTTATATAAATGAAATGGAGGTTTCGTTAGAAAACTTAGAAGAGATAAACTTCTGAACAATAGGTTCAGTGGGAAACCTAAAAATTGGGTTTGTGTGGTTGTTTTTCTTGCAGTGAAGGTTGGAATACCAGAGTTTCTGAATGGAATTGGCAATGGTGTGGAATCCCATGTGTCCAAGCTTGAATCTGAGATTGGTGACTTCCAAAAGCTGCTTGTCACTCGTACTCTCAAGCTGAAGAAACTTGGCATCCCTTGCAAACACGTAATCAATCTCTGAGTTTATCACTTATTCTAAAGAGACACACATGCCCGCTGGACATTAACAAATTAAAGTTTCTGTCTTTGTGGTTCATTTCATGATGACAATAATTTGATTACTTCATACAGACATTATTTAGAAATCTGATATCTGATTTCCTGTTTGCAGAGGAAGCTGATCTTGAAATACACCCACAAGTATAGACTGGGACTCTGGAGGCCTCGAGCTCAAGCGGTCAAATCCTAGTTAGGTTAGGAGTGGTGTGACATCTACACGAAGATTTTTTCTGCTGCAAGATGTTACTGGCAGACACTTTATGTATGGAGCTGTGAAAGAAGAGAGTTTGTGCTGTCAAGATATTCTAGTCTTTCTTCACCCTTATTTAAAGTTTCATGAGAAAATTTATTGAGCAATCTACCTTTGGTAATTTCACCAGAGCACCCTTGCTATGTCTTTGGTGTCAAATTGTTCAAACTCGTAGCAAAATGCTTTAGGAGGAAGCCTACAAAAGATGATGGTATTGAAGCCTCAAAGTGTTTCTTGGTTTGTTAAACCCATTATCTGTGTGAGTAGTTTTCAAAATACATTATTTCAAAATGTCTTTACTTAAATAATAAACAGTGCACACTAACTAAGAAAAATACATTATTTAAGTTATAAATGCACTGGCAACAATTGTTCTACAGCCTTCTATGAATACAAGTTTTTGGATCCCCCTCCAACCTTCACAAGCTCAACTGCAAGCAAAAAACAAGCTAGCATTGGCCATCTCCGAAATGAAGAACAAGAAAAGACTGCAATTAGGGGACTAAAAAAGTGTCAGGAAAACTGTAACACCGAATTGGACCGGATGAAAAAAAAAAAAGAATAAAAAAAGAAGATTCGATTGATTAAAAAAGTCAACAAACCGGACCGAACTAGTTCCAATCGGTTTCGATTCTGGTTACACACTACATCAAACCAAATTGGACCAAACTGGACTAGTTGTGTATAATTTTTTTTTTAATACAAAATTATTTAAATTCAATGCTACATTTTTAATCTCATAACTAATATTTTTCCAAGTCCAACTTCAAAACATCTCTCTTTTTAGGCTCAATATCTCTCTTTGTATGAAATTGGATCATTTGTTAATTTTCAAGCTCAAAAAATAAAATTTTAGTTGGAATTTGTAAAAAATTAATATTAATAATCCAGTTCAGAATTGAAAATTGGACCAAAATCAGTTCAAATAGAACCAGCCAGTTTCAAAAAAATATTTCATTAAAACTAGACCAAATCAGACCAGTTAAATAGTACTGATTTCAATTTCAATTTGAAGTGAGAACCGAATCAAACCGAACTGTGCCCACCCCTAACTGCAATTGCCAAAATACTTAAGAGAAGTAACTTATAAGTCAAATGCTCTAAACGCCGCCACGTGGGGTTGAGCTTGCAATTGTAGCCTTTTCTCCTTCCAATAATCCGTTCTCTTTTGACCACCCTCATGTTGACTCCATCATTGATCATTTTCTTAGTACTCAGCAAATAAGAAAGAAGGGAGCTTCTAGCTAACGGGGTCTAGCTTAGTGCAAAGAGTCTTGACTTGCAAACCAATGGTCTCATGTTTGAAACCCCGTGACACCATGACAATGTGTGTGTGAGAAAAACCCCCCTCCCCCCTCCCCCTTTGGTATCCAAATAAAAAAAAAAGGGAGAATCTATAATGAGGGGACTATATACAGAGGTTCAAAACCGGTCGTTTAGGCCATCTCTAACCAATGAGGCTAAACCCAAAAAATCTCAAATTTTAGCCCACTTTCTCTCCCAACCCAAGAAAGTAAGGAGCTAAAATTTGAGAAAACTCAAAGTTGGAGCCAAATACTAGTCCAGCTTTTTTTGGTGGAGCCCACACAACCATGATGCAGCCCATGTGCAAGGAGGAACACAATGGGGCCCGCGTTGTTGGTGCTTCATAAGCTGTCGCACCAGGTGTCGCACGTTGGTTCGCATCTTTTTTTATATATTTTTACTTCAATAGTAAACCAAATCAATGATCCATATTAAATCCAAACTATTTTAATGGTTAAAAAAAAAAAAGATCCAAGGGCTGAAATTTAAATCCAACGATTAAAATAATATTTTAAATTAATCTAAATCATATCCAACCCCGAAACTCTATAAATACCCACCTATTTCTCAAATAAAATTATATTTATGTAATTTCAATTTTTCTAGGTTAAATTGTTCAAAAGATTAAATTATGAAGTTATTTAAAAATATTTAATGAAGAAAATTTATCCATGAAAAAAAAAAATTAGACTTAAATCATTCTTAAACAATTAAATAAAATTGCAAACTTAAAATTTGAGTCTAAAGGGTTGGGAGAAAACACGGTTTGAGTATGGACAAAATCAAAATCGTACCTTTTAAGAGCACTTCCAGCAGTTTGCCCCTTGCCATGGCAAGGGGGGGAGCTAGGGCAGCTACTATTCACGTGAATAGTTGCTGCCCTTGCCATATTAAGCTATGTGTGTTTCCAGCAGTTGCCCTTTACCATGGCAACTACTATTCATTTTTTTGTTTTTTTCACAACTTTTTTTACTTAAATAATTATTTTGGAGAATATTTTCGGGTAAGATTTTTGGGTTCCTACGTGCACTGGCGGATCTAGAAATTTTTTAGCGGAGGTGCAATATTGACTAAGTATGAAAAATGATTTTTCGGAATAATCATTTTCTCAAGATAATTTTTGGCGGCTTTTGTTCCTTACACATCAAATAAGAAAACTTGATTTTATGGGATTTTAGTATGAAGTTTATATTGACTTAATGAGCCATCATTTTTAGCCTAAATCGTATTTTGTACTAAAACCGATTTTTCATATTTTGATTTGGTGGGAATTTGATTTTCTAGTATTTTTATTTGAATCCAAATGGGGGGTACTTCCTTATTTACATTGTAAACTTAAGTAAATGGAGTAATATAAAAATAAATAAGAGTAAAAGGACAAAGACATTTACTTAAATGTTGAAAATGAAAATAAGGTGTTGAAAGTGAAGAGTTTTGGTAGGTATTTATAGAGAAAAAAAATTCAGAACTTTTGGGTATTTTTTAAATATTTTTTCGATTTTTTTTCATTTTTTTTATTGCATACAAATTGGATGTCGTTGGATTGGAGGAAAAAATCAGATCGGAGAGCCCAGGTGTCGACACGTGGAAGCTGGCTGTTGGGGGTACTGTAGCGGGCCCGTCAAATACCCTGACGTCAGCCTTGCCCTCGAGCCAGCACAAGGGCCAGCCCAAATTGCTGGGTCCCACACTCTGCCCGGGCAACTTTTTGTTGCTGGAAACAGATTTTGGCCCAAACCCCCCCAGCCCTCCCCCTAGGCCTCCTTGCTGGAAGTGCTCTTAGAGATGACGAGATCTAGTGAGGGACAACGAGATCTAGCTAGAGACATCGAGATCTAGCAAGGGATAGTGAGATCTAGCAAAGGACATCAAGATTTAGTGAGAGACAACAAGATCTAGTGAGGACAAATAGATCTAAAAAGGGGACAATAAGATTTATTGAGATCTAACAATGGACAGTGAGATCTAGCGAGGGATAACGAGATCTAGTGAGGGACCACTAGTCTAGCAAAGAACAACAAGATATGATCAACAAGATCTAATAAGGAACAACGAGATCTAGCAAGGGACAACAAGATCTAGCAAGGGACGCCAATATTTAGCAAGAGACGATGAGATCTAGTGAGGGCAACGAGATCTAGCAACGGACGATAAGATTTATCGAGATCTAACAATAGACAGTGAGATCTAGCAAGGGACCACTAGTCTAGCAAAGGACGAAAAGATATGAACAACAAGATCTATTGAGGGATAACGAGATCTAGCAAGGGACAAACAAGATCTAGCGAGAGACCACGAGAGATAGCGAAGGACATCAAGATCTAGCATGGGATGACAAGATCTAGTAAGAACGACAAATCTATGACAAGGTGTTGTGAGATTTAATTGATAAGAGAGAAAGAAGAGAAGAATACATTGAGAGAGAGAGAGAGAGAGAGAGAGAGAGAGAGAGAGAATAAAGAAGGCGTAGACGAGCTGCAAGAAAAAGAGCCCAGAGAGATCTAGATCAGCAACTTGTCATGGATGTGGCTTTGCTTGATGAAGAAAACCAGAGCAGTCGTGGTTCACATGAAGGCCGTGCAGCAAATGTTGACAGACATAGGCATTCTCGGGGTAAGAATCTTATGGAAGATTATTTTATCCCAA